CACCTAACCCTCATGGTTAGGCTGCTAATCTCAAAGTCCAACTTAGAAACTGAACCCCTGTCTTATCCCCTGTGCCCACCTTCCCACTCTCTTCACCAAGATACTAAGACAGCATCCCTGCTGTCCTCTGGCCAGGCATTATAGGGACTGGAGAGCTGCTTTGAATACAACCAGGACAGTGATGCTCAGACCTGCTGCCACACCTGCTAGGCCTTCCTCTACCTTGCCTGTGTTCCTTGGTTAGTCCACATTGGCTCATCCCAATCCTGACCATTTTCCTCAACAGCTACCTATTGCTAGGAGTCATATGTAGTCTATTTCACTCTGGTGGAGGACACATAAGGACAGGTGTAGTGTTCATATTTCTAGTCTATCTCATTTATTGCCTGAGTGCTAGTCTCCTTTTCTGACAGAATAACTATTGTGTATTGGGGTTTTTCAACCAAGACCATTTGTTCTATCTATCAACCTACCTATTTTCTCTATCCACTTGAATTGAAACTCTAAGAGAGGAAGAATTGCTATTTCTTTGTTCATTTCTGTTTTCCAGGGCCTAGAATAGTGACTAACCCATGGAAGAAACATGAAATGTGAATATTTATCAAATGAATGAACAAATGGCTTTCACTGCATCATTTGAAGATATTGCTACTGCCACTAAGTATGAAAATTTAAAAAATTAACACAAAACAATAGTTCTGTTTGAAAGAATTCACAGAATGAGCTCCCATGCTTCTTGATTATGTATTTGTCATTTGAATCCTTAGTTTCTTGGTTCTGAAAAAAGAATAACATGAAGAGTGTGGACAATTAGAGTGTGGACAATTCACTTCATAAATGTTATCAAAAATATGAAATGACATAGATTGAGTTTTACAGTCATTACTACAAAGTCAACAAACATCCATTTTAAAACTTGAAAACTTGGCATCCAGAGGTTTCAAAATACCCAGATGTTAGATGAGATGTAAAAGCAGATCATGTAATTGCCATTTTTAATTTTCATAGTGAGACTGAAGCTTAAGGAAACTAGAAAAACAGTTGTGCAGTAAGCTAATTTCTCTTGTGTTAAAAAAAAAAACTGGCAGTTTTTCATGCCTTTCTATGATAGTATTTCCCAAGACAAAACAGCTTTGGAAACAAACAAAAAACAAAACAGCCAAAACTTTTAATGGTCACAGAGATGCTGGTTCTCCCTCTTGCAAATATAATATGACAATGTTTGTGCATGGGATTTACATCCATGAGCTCTCCTAGTCAATTGAATACAACCAGGACAGTGAGGGAGAAATAATTTCTACGTGAAAGAAAATTAGCAACCCCATTTCTGGGGAGGTATCCAAAAGAGTTGACATCAAGATCTTACACATCTGTTCACAGACAGATGAATCGATATAGAAAACAAGGTGTTTGCATGCAACAGAATACTATTCAGCTTTAAATGAAGGAAATTCTTCAATATATGACAACATGGATGAATCTTGAGGACATAAGCTAAGTGAAACAAGTCCGCCACATAGACAAAAGCTGTCTGATTCCATTTAGATGGGGTATCTAAAATAGACACATTCATAGAATAAAAGAGTGAAATGATAATTGCCAGGGGTTGAGGGAGGGGAAATTGGGAAATTGGGAGTTACTAATCAAAGGGCATGAAGTAGCAATTAAGCAAGATGATGAAGCTCTATAGATTTGCTTATAACACGATACTTAAAGTGAACAGTCCTGTATTGTGCCCTTAACAATTGAAGAGGGAACTCTCATGTTGAGTGTTCTTACCATGATAAAGTGAATTTACAAATATGCACAGAATAAAGATAAAGAACCCAAAGTCCAACAATATCTAAGCGACTTTTGGTAGGAAGTGTAGAGCCAGGAAGGAAAATTGCCTTTGCCATGGCTCTAGCTGTCTCTCACTTTGTACTCTCTCCCACTCCTCAGCTTTCACCTGACTTTGCTCAGGGCATTGGACTTATTAGCACAAAGTATAAATACAGCCAGGTGTCACACACCCCAATAGCTTGGGAGGCTGCAGCACGGGGATTGCACGCTTGAGGCCAGCCTTAGCAACTTAGTGAGACTCTGTCTCAAAATAAAAATAAAAAAGACTGGGGATGTAGCCCAGTGGTAAAGGGCCCCTGGGTTCAATCCTTACTAACACACACACACACACACACACACACACACACACAAATATAATGCATTTATATTTTTAGGGTAAACATGAGACATATTTATACTTAAAAAATCAGTTTTCGTTTATCCAAAATTCAAATTTAACTGGAGGTCTTATGTTTTTATTTGCTGAATCCGACAATCCTATTTCTGGTATCCCATTTGGAAAAATCATTTTTTTTGTTTTCTACTACAAAAAAGAGGTAATACTTCTTGTGGTAATAAAAGAGTCATAATTCTTTAAGAATAAAGGATAAAAAAATTCTTTTAAGAATAAAGAATACTGCCAGCATGGTGGTGCACACCTGTAATCCCAGCCACTTGGGAGACTGAGGCAGGAGGATCTCAAGTTCAAAGCCAGCTTCAGCAACTGAATGAGGCCTGAAGAAACTTAATGAGGCCCTGTCTAAAAATAAAAAAAGGGACGGGGATGTAGCTCAGTGGTTCAGTAGTTAAGCCCCTTTGGCTTAAATTCCCAGTACCAAAAAGTAGAAAGAAAGAAACAAAGGAAGGAAGGAAGGACGCAATAGAAAATATGAGAATACTAGGGAAAGCTGCAGGAAGTACTTACACTCCTTTATCTACCATCCCTTTCATGTCGTTAGTCTATAATGGCACTCGCTGCTCTGGGTCTAAAATCATCATCATTTGTGAGCACGCCCTTCAGTTTTTCTAGGAGGTGGGTGGGGTTATTTTGGGCCCATTCCATGTCTCTCTTTGGAGCCTCATTCACTGCCTTCACTAAGAGGCTCAATCTGTTGGAGTTTCCAAGCCAAACTGGGCCACACCTGAGGACTTGGGAAGGGAGCAGTGGGTGGACTGTTTTGGGGGGAGGTCTGCCCTGACCTGAATGGGAAACAGTTCATTCTCAGTATTCCTCATCCTGTATTTGGGAATCCTTCTACTTGGTATTTGTAACCCCCAAAATCATCACTCATGGTCTTTTGTGGTTATTCACAAACAAACATGAAGAGGCAAAAGCTCTGAGCTGGCAGTGGATGTTCCCAGTGGAGTTCCAACAAGGTGACACTCCCCCTCCCTACTGCTGTCATCCTGTAAACAAGTCTTTTATATATGTATCTCTTTTTTTTTTTGTACCATTTGTTAGTGAGTTCACTGTTTAAAATGCCCACCAATGCAGTGCTAAGTGCTGTCTGGTGTTTCTAAACAAGAAGGCAGTGACATGCCTTTCAGAGAAAATACATGTGTTTGATAAGCTTTATTCAGGCATGGGTCACAGTGTTATTGGCTATGAGGCCAATGCAAGTGAGGCAACAATACACATTAAAATAGATGTCTTTAAACAGAAGCATACGTAAAACAAGATTGCATATTGATGTATTGATGAAAGTGTTGAAACCACAGATTTACCAGGACCAAATTTACATTTCCACCAGGTGCAATGGTGCAGTGTTCTTTAATGCAGTGTTTGCAGCAACTTTATAGACTAAAACTGCTGTGAATAATGAGCGTTGACACATATCTCTTAGATATGTCTCATTTGTAGGACTGTGGCCGGCATTTCATCAGGCAGGTATGGGCAACTGGGGGGTCATGAAGCTATGGATTATTAAAAGATGTTTCTCAAAAGAGGGTGGCAAATTAGGAAAGGGGGAGAGGATTTGAGCCCACCCTGGGAATGCAAAAAAAAAAAGTAAATAAATAAAGGGAGAGAGAATGCAAATGGAGTTGCATTGAAGGGGATTCTTTTGAAAAAAATACCAGTGGCAAAATTTTCCTGCTCCTGGCATTCTATTTTCCTTTTAAAACTTAATTTTTATTCCTACTTTTCAATAAGAAACTTTCTGGCAGTAGGTAATGGTACTTATCGTGGGATCAGATATCTTTTTATTTTACTCCTAGAAAATCCAAGCAGGGAAATAGCCCTGGATTGCTCCAGAACTTGACAAGCATAGGGTTAAGAAGTTTCAGGCGCTTTTTATTAATGGAGCCAGGAAAGGGCAGAAAGATCCAATTTATCTATGTTAGTCCCTTTAACCCCACTTTGCCTGTATAACTCAATCATCTGTGTTGCTGGATCTTGTTTCTTCTGGGAATTCTGGGGGGTGTCAGAATTAAATTACCATCACTCAAACATTTTGTACTTGTTGTTTTTGAAAGAAAGCCTTGTCCAAAAGGCCTGTTCTCTCCTGGAGTGAGGCACAGAGATTCTTGGACAAAGCCAGATAGGTAGATTAGAAGATGTTCTCCCATCAAGCCTTCATTTTCTAAAAGTATCTATTACTGGGAAACGGGCCTCTCCAGTTCTGACTGGCGGAGAAGTGGAAAAGTGTTTGTTAACCAGCAGCTCCGTCTTACAGGGCTCTCCTGCAGAGCACCAGCCAGGAGGATGGTGAGCTGACTTTGCTCTTGTTTTCCTGCTTCTGTCCTTTATCTCCTGAATCCCTGGTTTTCATTCTCCATTTTTTTCTACTTTCATTTTCAGGAAAAATGACCAAATCAGAGTTTCTGAGAATATAAATTGGTGCCTACAAACACCTTGTACAAGGTATTTGCAATATCAAACAAAATTTCAAAGGTGTATGGCCCTTTAACCCAGCAATGCCACTTCTGGCACAAAGATATAGGTGCAGAAATGCTCATGAAGTGCAAAAATAGAAACAAACAAATCTAGAAGCAACTTACAGTGTCACATGTAAAATCCATTAGAGAGAGAAAAGCACATCTCTATACTGACCTGAAACATCTACAACTTTTTTTTTTTTTTTTTTTTGGTACTGGAGATTGAACCCAGAAGCGCTTTACTGCTGAACTACATTCCCAGCCCTTTTTATTTTTTATTTTGAGACAGAGTCTCACTCAGTTGCTTAGGGCCTCACTAATTTGCTGAGACTGGCCTGGAACTTGCAATCCTCCTGCCTCAGCTCCTGAGTTGCTGGAATTAAAGAAAGGCATGTGTGACCACGGCTGACTCTGCAATTTTCTGTTAAAAAATATATGGCACATTGTAGGAAATGTGTAGTACAGGCCAGTGTGTGAGCTTGTGTGCCTATAAAAGGTATAAAAGAATAATAGCAATGTATTATAATTTATTAATCTTTAAGGCTATTTGTATTGGGTGTGAGAAGCTGAGGACAGGGAGAAGGATGGCTTTTGATTTTTTTAAATGTATGTTTTATTTCAGAAAACATGTTACTTTTGTAATGCTGTAAAAACAAATTTTATGAAATCTGTCCCAAAGTCTTATTTTCCATTCAGGGAGCTTTGAAGCAATGGTTGATATTGAACACTTAACTTTTGAGTCACCCCACATGATTGCCCATCACTAGCACATCCAGTTGCCTATCCATCCATTTAATTGTTTCTAGATGGATTTAAGTTGTTACACATCATCTCTGTGCTACCTGTTGTCATAAGTTTATTTATGGAAGATGCTGCCTCGTTATCCATTTTTAGGACTGACTAATTATTTGAAACCCAGGGATACCCTTGTCATCTCTGGCCTAATTCAAACTTCCTCTCCCTGTGTGGTTCCCCTTTCTACCTCATCTCATTGACTCAAAACCAAGACTACACACAGGTTCTGATCATGATAAACTTAATGGTCACCACCTGTGTCACATTTCAAGTTCTCCTGCTTCCTATGTGTTTAAGCTACCTGATCCACAGCTGCTGGGAAAGCCGAAGAGCTGATTCCCATGGACCTTTTTAAGCTGTAGCCTCACATCTCCTCTCTCCCTCCTGCTCACTCCCCTGATGCTGACTTGAGCTCCCTGTGGCCATCGACTTTCCGTCAGACTCTTATCAGCACCCTTAATTCCTCTGGACCTGTGAGTAATACATTTCTTATTTCATGCATTTTGGCTTCATGTCCTCATCCTGTCTTGCCTGAAGCACACACCGGAACCCAGCTTTCTGCTCTGTCAGGGTTCTCCTAGACAGTGACTGTCTTGGCTAATGGTTATTCTTGACAGAGACCCTAGGAACAAAACAAACAAACAAGCAAACAAACAAAAACCCAATCCCAACCCTTCTTCTATGGGTTATCTGTGAAGTACCAACCACGGATAGGTGTGGAGAATATTTGGTGGTGGAAAGAGGAGCTGCCAAGAAATGAGGCCCAGTTCAAAATGACTTAATCAGCGTATCCAAGTCAAGGATTCACAAAATGGCCATATATTCACTAAAACTTAATGACCTAACCAATGTGATTGGTTCTTAAGTAAAAATAGTGAGAACTCATCCTTGACAAACAGCAGGAAAAGGAAGCAGGACATTAAAGAGTTGCACTGGCCTGAGTCCAGAGGAAGAATTCCAGAAACTGAGTTCCCTCATTTTCATCCATATCAATTAAAAAAATGTTTGAAGCCTAGCTGGCATGTTTGTTGAAATGGCATAATTAATTGTATGGTGTGTTAAAAATATGCTCTAATTAATTCAGTTGTTCAATAACCGTCTTACCGAGCTCCTACTCGGTGCTAGGCACTGGGCATGATTAAAGTAGGGAATATGATACACTCGTGCTTGACAAAGCCTTCATCGAAGTATTAAAATGCCTCAGGGCTGAGGAGCTGACTGCTATTGGAGTAGGAAGCACTGATTTTCATAACTATAAAACAACACCATCTGGTGTAATAAAACTCTTCTGTTGCTATGTAAAAATCTCATTCAGTTTTAGGTGGTCATGTTTTAAAACCTGTAGGCATTAGATGAGTCAATGTGGGGAAAACATCTGGTCAAAGTCTGCAGAGAGAAAAAGAGAAAAGTTTTCATTTCAGACCTCAGGGATAATGTCAAAGAACAATTAGATAAACTTGTTAGCCAGAAAGAATCCATAGGATCTATAAATATCCCTCAAAGAGAAGACAGGAAACAAACAAGGGGAATCAACATACTCACTCTGAGCAATTAAACATGTAATCATCATATAGGTCCACATAGGACTCTCCTGTGGACATGGTGTAAGTAGTATTTACTTGCTAAGAAGCATAGTACTTATCCCAGTTCTTTTATGATTGTCTTTTGGATTAAAACAAGGAAAATTAGTTTTGTGCCTGAATAGGAAACAGCCTATATCTTCCTTCCTACTGAGATGTGGTTTCATCACCTGGCCAAACAGCGGCCACTGCAGTGAGCTGTTAGCATTGTGAGTTCTTCTTGGCCCATTTTTTCTTCTATTTCTTTGAAAACAGAGAGACCACCAAGTTCCATTTGTTCTTATATTGACTTATTTACTAAGAGGAACCCTATTCCAAGCCCTGTGCTGGTTGGTAAAGGTAAAAAGATGTCTGACCAGCAAGGACCTCAAAGTCTTGTAGCAGAGGCAGCCACACAAGCCATAAATGACAGAATCATCCTTACTCATCCTCTTTCCTGCATTCCCAGCATCAAGGCCTATTGACTCTACCACTGTGCTCCAGGTCAATTGCTGACACCTCAGTCCAGGCCGCTCTCTTCTCCTTTGAATCAACTGGTCCTCCTGCCTCTGCTTTTGTTCCTTACATTCACTTTTCTTCACAGTAACCAAAGGATCTTTTACAAACCACTCAAATCCTTTCAATTCTTTGCTGTTGAACTTTAAATAACATTGAAAAAGCTTCTTACATGTCTCGGTCTCTTCTAGTCCCTCGAATGCCACTCTAGTTGGCGCTGACATGCTCCCATCACATTGGCCGTCTTTCTCCAGTTTGTTCCTCCCTCGGGGTCTTGGCATCTGATCCTCCTCTGCCTGAGCAACCATCCCATCTCTGCATGGCTTGTGGGCCTCAGCAAAAAATGTTCCCACCTCGAAGAGTCCTTTACTAAGGGCCCTCATTAGAGTAAGCCTCTTCCAATCTGCATGTGTCCCTTTATTCCATTCTGTTGCTCGTGGCATTGGTGTCTGGAAAATTCTATCTCCTCACTACATGTTTATTGTCTGTGTTCTCCAGCAAGATTGCAAGGTAGAGGAGAGCAGGGAATGACCAGTCTTGTCTCCCCTCTGTCATGCAGGCATAGCTTGGTATGAACATGTATTTGTGGAATAAATGAATATTATATGTAATGGAAATTTTGATGTATGTTTTCCTAGTCTTCTGAACTGCCCAGATTATTTGTAGATAACTTCTAACACTAATAAGAATCTTGTGGCCATTCAGAGAATTTCAAGAATTAGAAATAATGCTAGAGATTTTTAAAAAATCTCTAAATATTTCAATTATAGTATCTTTATGGTATCTTAACTACAGTACCTTTTCATAATTAGTGCATTATACTGAGCAATCATTAATATTTTCTAAAATGAATAGTAGAGGGTGTCAGAAAACAATGAATATGAAACTAAGTCCACAAAGTAGGTAAACACAAGAATTAAAAGTCAAGATAGAAGATTCCTGCTAACACACATGTGCCTTTTAATTCTTATTACATAAGGAATTTTGTTATGGCTATTTGTATATAAGTCAGAAAAGTATTCGTTAAGTTACTCTCAAATAAATGATGTCTGACTTCCATTTATTTTTTAAGAAAGGGGAAAAACAAATTTTTCCGAACCTAACCCCAAAGGAAAAGTCCAATTTGGTTAAAAGAAAGCAAGGCAAAAGGGGTCAAGGAAGTCCCCAAGAAAATTCCCAAAAGGAAATAGTATACACTAATAAAATATATCCTCCTTTTGTTCCACCCTTGATCTCACATCATTTCCAATCTCTGGTAATTCACTAATCTACTTTCAGGTTGATTCTTTTTAAGCTTCCACACAGGAAAGAGAATATATGGTAGTTGTTTTTCTGTGTATGGCTTATTTCAGTTAACATAGTGCCCTCTCATTCCAATCATTTTGCTGTGAATGACAGGATTTTTGCTCTTCTTTTTGGCTACATAATACACCATTTTGTATATTCCACATTGTCTTTATCCATTCATCTATTGATGGGCACCTAGACTGATTCCATATTTAGCTATTGCAAATAGTGCCACAATAAACATAGGCAAGCGAGTATCTCTTCGGATGCTGTTTTCATTTTCTTTGGATAAATACTCCAAAGTGGGACAGCTAGATAATATGGAAGTTCTATTTTTGTTTGTGTTTGGTGAAGTCTTCATACTCTTCTCTATAATGACTGTACTATGTTCCCATTACAGGATGTTAGGATTCCTTCCACATCTTCATCAGCATGTATTACATTTTTGTTTTAATTAGTCATTCTGATTGAAGTGAGATGGTATCTCATTATAGTTTTGATTTGAAATCCCCTGATAGTTGATGATATTGAGAATTTTTAGAAATATATTTGTTGTCCATTTGTATTTCTTCCTTTGGGAAGTGTCTTCAGATATTTGCCCATCTTTAAATTGGATTACTCAATTTTTTTGGTTATATTTTCTGAGTTTCTTAGTATTTTGGATATTAATCCTCTGTGAGATGAATGTTCAGGCAAATATTTTCTACCACTCTGTACTTGTCTTTTATTCCAGTTGCTTCCTTTGCTGTGGAGAAGCTTTTGAGTAATCCTATTTGTTGATTTTTGAATTTGTCTTCTGTGCTTTGGGATCCTATTTAGAAAATCATCACCTGTATTAATGTCTTGAAGTGTTGCTCTTATGTTTTCTTGTAATTTGAGAGTTCCAGGTCACACATTTGGATCTTTGATCTGTCTTGGGTTATTTTTGTATGAGAAGAGAAATAAGAGTCAAGTACAGTCACATGTGGATATCCTGTTTTCCCACCACTATTTATTGAAGAGGCTGTTCTTTCTCCAGTGTATGTTTTTGGTGCCTTTGTTGATAATCAGTTGGCTATAGATGTGTGGATTTGCTTTTGGGTTCTCATTGGTCTAAGTGTTTGTTTTTATGCCAGTACCATTGCTGTTTGGGTCATGATGGCTTTGTTGTGTATCTTGAAATCAGAAATTGTGATGCCTCTAGCTTTGTTTGTTTTGCCCAAGATTGCTTTGGATATTCAGGGATTTTTGTGCTTCCACATGAAATTTGGATGTTTTCTAGTTTCAAAAGAATGCCATTGCATTTTGATTGGAATTACACTGAATCTTTAGACCACGTTGGGTAATATAAACATTTTAATAATGCTCTTCCAATTCATGAACATGGGAGGTCTTTCCATATTTTTGTGTCTTTTTCAAGTTCTTTCATCAATGTTTTGTAGTTTTCATTGTAGAGGTCTTCCATTTTCTTGAAGTGGTATTCCTAGGTATTTTACATTGCAGTTATTTTGAATAGGGTTGCTTTTATAATTTCTTTCTCAGAAAATTTATTATTGATGTTATATAGAAAAGCTACTGATTCCTGTATGTTAATTTTGTACCTTGCTACTTTGCTGAATTTATTTATGAGTTCTAATCATCTTTTTCTGGAATCTTTAGGAATTTTTATATAGGGAATTATATCATCTGAAAATAGGGATAATTTTTCTCACTTGCTATTTGTAGGCCTTTTCTTTCTCTTGCTCTGTTGCTTGGGCTAAAACTTCTAGTACTATATTGAATAAAAGTGAGGAAGTGAACATGTTATCTTGTTTGTGATCTTTGAGGAAATGTTTTCAGCTTTTCTCCATTCAGTATGATGTTAGGCTATGGGTTTTTCATATTTAGTCTTTATCACATTGAATTAAAATTCTTCTATACCAAGTTTGCTCAGAACTTTTATTAGGAAGGAAAATTGAATGCTACCAAATGATTTTCCTGCATCTGTTTAGATGATCATATAATATTTCTCTTTTGTTCTGTTGATGTGGTGTCTTATTCATTTGCATATGTTGGGACATCCTTACATTCCTGGAATAAAATCAACTTGATCATGGTGAACGATCCTTTTGAAGTATTGTTTAATTCCATTTGTTCATATTTTGTTGAGAATTTTTACATCTATGTTTATCCAGACATTAGTCTCTAACTTTCATGATGATAATTTTCTTTCTTCCCCTAATGGATGTAGGATTCCTTTGAGCATCTCTTGTAAAGCTGGTCTGGTAGTTATGAATTTTCTCAGGTTTTGCTTGAGGTCAAAGAACTTACTTCATTTTCGATTAATAGTCTTGCTGAGTATACTGTTCTTGGTGGGCAGTGATTTTGTTTTAGAGTTGGAATATATCATTCCATTCCTTTCTGGTTTGTAGAGTTTCTGCTGAAAAAACTGCTGGTAATCTAATGGGGATACCATTTAATATTACCTGCCACTTTTCTCTTGCAGATTTTTAGAACTTTTTCTTTGAGTTTCAGAAGTCTGGCTATATGTGCTATGCTGAAGATCTTTTCTGGTCACATCTGTTTGTGGTCCTATAAACCTCTCTCCTTGGATGTCCATAGCTTTCCCTAAATTAGGGAGATTTTCTATTTCATCAAACAGTTTTTTATGCCAATAATTTCTTTCTCCTTGCCTTTGGATATTCTGAAAATGTGGATATTTGTTTGTTTAATAATTTCCTAAAGGTCTTAAATATACTTCATTCTTTCTTTTTTAGAATATTTTAAAATTCCTGCTGCCAAGACCAGATATTCTTTCTCCTGCTTGATCTAGTTGAGGTTTTCAACTCTTATTTCACTTTTTTTAAAAAAAAATTTTTGAAACATGGATTAAATTCAGGTGTGCTTAACCACTGAGCCACATCCCTAACCCATTTTATTTTTTCTTTTGAGACAAGGTCTCACTAAGTTACTTAGGGCCTCAAATAGTTGCTGAGGCTAGCTTTAAATCTTCAATCCTCCTCCCTCAGCATGTTGAGCTGCTGCAATTCAACTGTATTTTTATTT